TTTTTCTCGAAAATTATTTTTATTTTATATTATATGGCTATTCCTAACATTCAGCTTATTATGTATACAACACATAACAAGGATTCAAAATTTATTTTTAAAATATCTACAATAATAGGATCGATATTCCTTGTATTATTACTTTTCTGTTTAAACTCATTGCTGGCAATGGTATCAAAAAGCGCCCGAAAATGCTATCCATTGTTGTGTTCAATACTAACCACATATTCACTGACTTATAGACAGAAATTGAGAATCGAGTCATTGATTAGTGTTATGTCGGGTCCGGATATAGGTTTCTATTGTCTCGACTTATTTCCCATGAATTCCTATGAATTCTTTCAACTCTTATATATTTCGGGTTTAAATTATTTTTTCATTATGAGTTTGTTTTAAGGATATTTAATTACCGTATTTACAAGTTTGTATATTACACTGATATTTTATTCTGTCAAATACTAACAAATTGTTTTTATGTATTCATTTGACTAATATTTAATAAAAATTTAAAAACGAGTTTATTTATCAATTAATCGTACTTTGCTCATTAATTATTAATCAGAGAATGTTTTATTTATTTATTTATTAATAATCCTATTGTACAGTATTAATAAATGTGAATTAACATGTGTTTCCAAACCACAAATAATATGATTTATAAATCAATTAATTTATTAATTATTATAATTTTATTGACTGCTACCCACCACTCCAGCCCACACACATCACCTACCAGTCCACTGATTATATACGTGTCCACACAAACCTCGCACAAGACTTTTTATATATCCGATGACACGGCACCGGCATGTGTTGCACTGGTCACTGAGATGTGTGGCCAATTGGTGGATGATCCCTGTCCTCAGGGGTGGGACTACTTCACAGCAAATGTTTCACATGTCACGTGCACCTGTAGTAATATAGTTAATAAAACCTTGATCATAAAATCGGGGGACCTGTCGGACATTAGTACTCATAAGTGGAGAAACACCTCAAACCACACCGACATTACTCCGGGAAAGGTAGCGGCAAATAGGGAGGGCATGTGGTGGCTGTTGGCAGGGGTGGCACCGGATGTGGCGCTTCTGTTGCCATTGTGTTTGCGTACGAACGGCACCGAAAGGCACGTCCAGTGAACTCCACGACCGGACAGGCTATTGACATGAAAGATATGTCGTGTGGATCCCGGGGCCAAAGACCACGAAAATGACACAATCATACGAATATTTAATTTGTGTTTAAAATTGATTAGTTTTTTTGGGTGCAATTGTTCAGGGTACTGTATATATTTGATTTTACGCATAATTAATTGATTAAATAATTATACTGTGATTATAAACATTATTTTGCTGGGATTTCCCATAGAAAAAACAAAGTTCTTAACGGCTAAACTATCAAAAAAAACTCCATGTTAAGTCTATGGGAAATGCAGTTTGACCGTCATCACCGTCATTAATGACTGGTGGGGGAGGGGGAGGGGGAGGGGATACATAGTGATTCTAGTATACGATTTCCCTGCGGAAAAGCGTATAAAAACTTTTCAAACAATATTGACAACGGAGGGCTTAATGGTCACCCTAGACAAAATTAAGTCAAATTTTCCCATATAAATATAGTCTAAGATCTTAATTCCTTGAGAATGGCTAAAGTATGTAAAAATTTATTTAAGATGTCCTTGAGTATTAATTATTAATTATATTTATTAAGAAAACTGTTTAAAATTTTGCAAAATGTATCTTTGCAATATAATTTTGCTAGTAATATTATATAGATTAATTTAATCACCGAAACAATTGTTAGTTTTAATTTATTGGAAAATTTAAAATTATTTAAGTTGAATAATTTATTTAATTGTATATGTAAAATATTGGTTGTATCATAATACAATTGAAAATATACCATATATTTAGTCATATATGGTATAGAATACTTATAATTAAATTAATTAAATCTTTCATAAAATAAAATTATTAATTTCACCAAGAAACAATAGAAATTACTAAAAATCTAAAAGGTGAAATGTATATAAACATTATTTATAGAAATTTCTTAATAGCATTTGCATTTATAGAACTAATACCCCCGTCCACAAACAAGTTGGCACCGGTGACAAAAGCAGCTTGGTCACTAGCCAGGTATAGTATGGAGTTAGCCACATCAACGGGTTCCCCCATGCGACCCACCTGGGTCAAATTAGCGTTGGACTTAAAATTTTTATCAGGAAGCTCCATATTTATTCTTACTGACTTCATAAAATCCGTAGGAATTCCACAAGGGCTATTGCATATATTAAATTCATTTGCTTTAACATTGTCTATTTGTATTTCTGCATGCATAGATGAGTTACGTTTAATCTAATCCGGTCTCACAAATACATTCCCATATATAATAAGCAACTTTTTAATCGTTTAATCGTTTTTATGAATAGCAAATACTGTACTATAATATTGAATCGTTAGTGAATTAGCAAAAATGATAGTGTTCATAATTTTTTTTATAGCAAAGTACAATATTTTCAATTTATAAAAAACGATAAAAGATTTTATATGAGAATATATTTGTGAGACTGGACTTGATTAAACATCATTCATATTATGTATTACTTGATGCCATTAACGCGGATACGTTTGGGTCCCAACTCTGCGGCCATACATTTGGTGAACATATCCATCGCGGCCTTAGACATACAATATGGTGCACACCAGGTTAACTAGTAAATAGATTCATGGTAATTGATTCATTTATTAATAATTAGTTGCTGGGTATATAATACTAACGGCATTTATTGAAGCGAGACTTGAAATGTTAACGACATTTCCTTTGGTTTTCTCCAAATGCTCGACACATATATGCGTTAAATAGACCACAGAATTGAGATTTATTTGCATTACTTTCAGGTAATTCTCGTAAAAATCATTTTCGCCAATTTTAGCCACAATACCGGCGCCGGCATTGTTTACCAAGACATTGAGTTTCCCGAAGTGTGCGATAGTTGTGTCCACAAGTCGTCGCAAGTCCTCCGGTTTAGTCACATCCGCCACCACTTCCAGCGCTTTCGACCGATTCGGTGATACTTTGAGACACTCTTCGGCCACTTGTGACACTCTATCGGCTCGTCTACCGGTGACAACAACACGAGCGCCGGCTCTGGAGAATTGTACGGCAGTGGCGGCACCGATACCTGAACTCGAGCCTGTGATCAGCACTACTTTACCGCTGAAATTGTACTGCAAAGACATCCTATTTATAGAAATTGTTTGAAAATTTTATTACAATGAAGTAATTTGATAATTAAACAAATGAGACAGGCACATCTATTCCGTTGGGTAATGCTAAATGTGAGTCCAACTCCCTGAAACGGTTAAAAATATTAAATTATTCACCAGATTAAATAACCTAACATACAGTACTCAATATGAAATATGCTGTATAATATTTGGTATGCACGAAATAAATGAATTTCAAAACTTTTTATACACAGTAACAGTGAATTGTAGTTTATTTTTCAAAAACAAAAACAATAACTAATCATGGCCAACAACAAAAGCTACACCTGAATAACTGTTAGTTACTAGCTGTATAACACTATAGTTGGTAAGGATTTTAGTAGTATAGAAAATGGGGGGGGGGGGGG